CAGAGGAATTTTAAGTCTATGTACTGTAATCACAATGAACTTGTTGATTAAACACAACTTGGACCCAAAGAGTAGAACCCATCATATATATATATATACCATGTTACACTGATTCAAACCTTTGGCAAACTAGAACAATATTGTGGTATTTATTTGAAGATCAACAACTTTTATGATTTTTCTCCAGTCATAATAAATGTGAGCATAATTTAATCAACTTACTCACCTCCAAGCAACATTTCTTGAAGTAAACTGTCAATTTTAACCATACCAAACAGTTTTACAAATTGTATTTGCTCAATCATTTGCCAGGTGATACTCTGGACTGTAGGCAGAAGCAACAGGAGTTCTCCAAAGCGACCTCTAGAGTCATACTGGTGGTCATTGATGTAATCCTCCAAACTCATTTGAGCCTGAAATCTCATGTTCCTGACCTTCATTGGGTTATTCAGCCCCTTTGCATCTTCAAACGGCAGAGAAAAGTTACATAAATATGCAACACATAACTGGATAACTTAGTTTAATCTCAGAATTAGCCTATTGACTCTCCTATAATGAGTCTACTGGCTCTAAGAAGATGAGAGTGAAGAAGTGTTACAAACGGAGCACAGAGATGCTCTTACCATACTATGTTTAATTGGGTGGGAGTTAGCACATCATGTGAACTTGCTAAAGTAGTTAACTAACCTGCACAATTAATCAGATGAGGATATTTTTAGCTTTGAACAACCTCAGGCAGTTTGATTTAAACTGAATCCTTCCAGTGATCCATATCATGTAAGCTGTTTATTAATACATTTAATGGTTCTGAAAAAGAAAAAATAAAGCCTCAAAGAGACTTAGAAAAAAGGGTCTACCATGGACTCTGTTACCTGCTTTTTTGGGGGGGTTAGCTTATTCTTATGAGGAACTGTAAAAAAAAAAAAACAGAAAGAAAGGAGTAGGGGGAAAAGACTTCCCACTCTTGACTTCATGATGGTACCAGCCTTGACAGTTTCATCACAATTTCTTTTTCCTTAATTTATTTCTATTTAAAAAAAAAAAAAGATAGAAAATGGCAGTCTTCCAGCCTCCTTTATGGTAAGTTGGGAGGACTGAAAAAATAACCAATGCATAAAAGACCCAGTTATCCTAGTCTTTGTGCTGGCAACATACAGAATCTGTTGATTAAAAAAGCTAGAGTGTATAAACTCAGCAATGTTTATGTTTGGACTTTTGCCTTAATAGGATAACATGTGAGTATTTAGAGCAAAGAAAAAAAACCTTGCACTTTCCAAATTTATGATTTTCAGTATTATTTCTATCACAGAAAATATTAAGCCATGTTGTGGAAAATTAAGCTCTGACACTTCCTGGAATGAAGCTGCAGACGATAGGAAACAAATAAATGAATACTGAATATGTGTGTTGCCTTGAGTTGTTTATAAAAAATAAAGGTGATATATAAATAAATAAATTAATTAAAAATCAATGCCTAGGATATCAGAAGGATGAACACTGAATCCAAATAATTTATCTTGAACGATCCAGGGCTAGGGGCAATAAATATGTTACTTAGAAAAAATCTGGCAACAGATAAACTCTCAAGGCCAGCCAAGAGAGGGAACTCTAAGGAATCATATGTAGGCATTTAAGGGCAAATTGTATTGCCTGCTCTCCATCAATTTCAAAAGCTGCCTTCTATTTCTGTTAGTCCTTCCTTTAGGAATTGGTGACACACCTAAGGCAGGGTTGTCATAAAACTTTTTCATTTCTCAACAGGCACAAGGATTAAAGTTTCACTGAAAATCGAAAATATCCATTATAAATCTGATGTTGTCCAGATAATTCCCAGCCAACATGCTGATGTTTCAAAATGTTAAAATATGTTTGAGTCTCAATCATACAAAGACCTAGATGACAAAGTCCGGTTACACAAAGACCTATAATAACTCTGCTTATATTTGGAAAGCAACCATTTTTGTTACATTTGGAAAGGAAATTCTGAAGTATACCTGGATCAAAAAATACAATCGCCTTTAGGCATGCATATTCATTATCATCAATCTGAATTTCCTGAAATGGCTTAATGAGCTCATCCAGGATCCGGTTTGCTACTCTGCTAATCTCAGTTTCAGAACTGTTGCGATGGATGACAAAATCATTACCTTAAAAATAAAATCAGGTCAAAATTATTAATGATATCTGTGGCTTAAAACTACAAAGCCAATTACTATTTATTCACTGGTACATTTGAACAATTAAATACTCATCATTGTTTTCCCCCCACCACATGTTATGTGCCACCAATAATCTGCTTAATTATAACCATACAAATATAATATCATTTCACTTCATAATTGTGTACTTATCTAAATATGTCTATTTTTGAAGACAAAGTAGATCTTCTATATATAGAATAGCTGAAAGGCCAAATACTGTGCAAATTCATGTCCTGTCACAGATTTCCCAAATCAAATGCATCTGTTTGACTGCTCTGAAGAACAAAATCCTACATGTTCCACTTCCCTGTGGTCAATTGCTGAAGGTTGTGATTTATAAGTTCAGAGCTGGGAATAAGATGTTACCTACTGATGGTAGAAAGCCTTTCAACTTTTAGTTAAGTATTGGGGACAAAGGAGGGTAGCTCCTCTATGAACCAGCAGGGTCTAGCTGGTCATATGAATATTTTATCCCCAAGGAATATGTCCAAAAGCAGAGAAAAGGAATAAGGCAAAGGTTATGCAAACCATATGTGATGAATTGGGAAATGAGCCAAAATGTTTTCTTCTGCCAATCATGAGGAGAAATAAATCCTCATTTCAAGGGTCATGCTTATGGCAGAAGCAAAAGGATCCAAAAGCAATACTATTTGGGGTGTTTTTCCTCCAAGAAAAAAGTCCCTTCAACAACAATATTACAACAACAATAACAACAACATCAACTATTTCATCTGCAAAATAAAATTTATAAGATATGGTAGCAATAGAAAACTCTGATTCACTTTCAAAAGTAAGGAGAATTCCTATTTTTATGCAAAACAGTCCTGCCTCGGGATTTAATGAAAAACCTGTTTTATTATGTACCCTCAATTCTGGATTAATGCACTCCAAACTGAAGTCCTATGCATACTTTTCACTAAACATAGTTAGGGTTTTATTGATAAAAAAAACCAAAATAAATATAACCTAACCTAAAAGAATGATGTCTTTGTAAGCCATAGACCTTTTTGCTGCTCCAAGTAAAAGATGTTCTCCAGCATGTGCTCTTAACAGGGCAACCTTGGATATAAAAAACAGCAGATAAAACGTCAGTATAAAATATTAAAACAGAACATTAAAGAAAATCCAAACTGAATTAGGATAATCGGAATTATAGCTGTTCCTATTATGTTTAAAGTCTTCTTCTTTCCCAGAAAAAACATTGAAGATGTGAGGCTTCTGTTCAGAAATATATTGAAATTTTATCTTTTCTTTTAAAGAATTCATTTGTTTCCTAAATATTTTTGATACCTAAATATATCATGATATCACCATGCTTAATTGTGGATAACTGATCTAATAATAGCTAAATTCATACAACTTTTTGAAGCCCATAAAATCTTGGATGTGGCCTAATTTCCATTTATCAAATTCTTATCAAAGTGTAAAAGATTCTTTTCCATGCAATGCAACAGTGGATTTTCCAAATCATGCCTTTTTTTTCAGCAATCATATTTTGCCTTGATTTTCTATTGAATGTCTATGTAAACATATTGGCTCCATTCTATATGGTAGGAAATTCTGAAATCTGCTTGACATTCCCCTGTGGCTGAATCCTACCATACTTCCTTCTCAGATTCCATAACCAGTTCTGCATGAATATAAGCTTAAAGATCCTTAGTTTGATTTTAAATCATAGAATGATATTCTCCCCAAACTGAGAAAAAGGACCTAAAATAGATGCTTTAATTATTTCATACCTGGTCATCCAGCCGTAGTTCACAGAAAGCTGGAATATATTTTGCCCACTCTACAAGAACCAAGAGCTGTTGCTTCATAGATTCACAAACATCACTAACACCCGCAATTTTCTTATCACTGATGTCAGTAGTGCCAAGGTTTAAACTTGAAAGAGGAATCTGGGTGACACAAAGACTCAAATTGATTAAAGATTCAAAAGGCTATACCAGTCTTGATAATAGTTAGTTTATAAATGTAGGTATACATTCAGTTAAATAAGTTAAAATCTGTATTATTCAGGGTTCAGAAATTCTATTTTATTTACTTTCTATTTCTGAGTATATTCAAAGCTCATATATTTATTATTTAATATGCTTCCATACCACTCTCCATATATCAGATCTTAAATTACTTGTTCAATATTAAACACAATCTCAAAAATAATAAATTAGAGTAATATAAAACATTTATTAAAATAAGGGGAAAGAATGTAAAAAAATAAAATGATTCACCCTATACTTGTACAGATAAAGGTTCAGTAAAGTTATATCGATTTTTCGATGAATTTATAAAATCCTTCAATCAACCATAAAAAACAGAAATACAAAATAAAACAATGCAATAAAAAAGAATTAACAACTACCATTAATTATAAAAAAAAATTACAGGTAGTCCTCAACTTTCAATTATTTGTTTAACGGTGGTTGAAAATTACGATCACCTGACAAAAAGTGCTTAATGAGGTCAAATATCAAGCCTACATATTAATTCTGTCTCAATAGAGAGTTATCCTTTAGGGTGATTTTTGAACACTATGCGTCTCTAAGAGCATCTGCAGCTACACAGAAGACATTGTGGCAAAATATAGTCCAGATTCCAAAGGGGAAAGGAGTTCGTCCAAAGGAATAAGAGACAGCAAAGTTTAGTTTGGTTGGGAAGAAGGAAGAGGGTAAAATCAGCTCTTCCCTAGAGGTTCTCATTGTGTATCTTTAATGACGCAAGTAATTTACTTTAATTGGGTAACATTTCTGACTACGGGTATAGAACAATAAAGGAAAGTGCTTAGAAGTAAATCTGTGTGTCTTTTTTGGTTAGGCAGGCCTGACAGATACCTATCTTGTTCATATGCAGTACAGTAGAAACAACTGTTCAGAAATAGCTAAAAGATAGTAGAAGAAAAAAAAACCTGGTGAGTTGGGAATCAAAGCTAAAGCAATTTGAAGGAAAACAAACTGTTTTAGAAGAAACACATGATAAATGTCTGTTGGCTGAGACACAAAGAAAAAGAATAAGAAAAAGAAAAAAAGAAACATAAGTAGAAGTATTTTATTTCCTACAGTATATGAAGATGTTTATATATTGTATAATATCCCATCATATCACTTTTATGGTAATATAGTTTTCACCAATAGAGCAAAAATATTTAGAGTAGATCTTGCAGTCCTTGACCTTCTTCTGACTTCTTGAGGCATACTCCAAGTGATTGGAGAAACATTTCATAAGAACTCCTTACAGATTATACCTGATGGTGATAATGGTGTCCTTCTCACCTGAATCATTGAGTGTTATTACAAAGTAAGCCGAATAAAATTAGAATTCTCTTCAGAGAGCCTTCCTGTTTTATTTTGTTATTACAAATGCAAAAAGAATAGATATGGCTATAAATAATGGACTCGGAGAGTATTCAAGAGATTGAATAGGCACTGATGGTGGATTACTCTACCTGACGAGAAAGCACTTCAGCCTGGAACAGTGTGTTAATAGAAGGAGGAGCACTGCCATCAGAGGTGCTTCGCCTGGTACTTATTCGGTCCCGTTCATTTTGAACAGCTGGAGGAGGAAAAGAAGTGGAAGAACAAGAAAACATAAGCTATTCATATTTTGTTGCATGCAAACAATTGCAATGAATTATGTTTCAAACTGGTATTACAAAGTTATATAAATTTAAGGATCCATACTTGGCCATGGAGAAGAATGGCACTGTCTTTTAATCATTTATCCTGGCAATTGTAATCTATATATTTTTCCTAAATTACTAATTTCTACTAAGAACACTATCTAAAGAGGAAACTGTGTTTTGTGTTTGTGTGTGCGTGTTCGCGTGTGTGCTTGTAAATGCAAGCTTTTAAAAAATAGGGTGTGCCTCTGTATATGTGTGCATGCCAAGAAAACTGTCCATATAGTTGCTAGAAGATTAAGAGGCATGCATGCATGCATGCATGCACGCACGCACGCACACACACACACACACACACACACACACACACGCCTGAGGTGACATACACAGAAAGGCACAAATGAAAGCTAATTTGTCTTAGTGGCTGATGATTCATAAGACAGGATAAACATACTGATTTAGAGAAAATTGAAATAAGTTGACAAATACGTTGATGAAGAAATGAAAGGCACAGTGATTGAACATTGCATTAGTGCTAGAATTAACAATTACTCCCTTTTAATTAATCAACTGGTTAACAGACTTGATTGGAGGGATGATTTTTAAAAATCCTATTTTAAGGTAATTATGTCATCCCAAAAGAGGGATTTCAGAAGACTGTAATATACAAGGAAGCAAATTACTTGTAAAATTTGTTGGGGAGGCAGTCAACTATATCACGGTTTATATAGAGTCATTTAAACTTCCAATACTTGTGCATTAGAGTTGATCATTTTCTCCTACACAATAGGTTTAAATATTTTCTATCCACACTTTTCAAGCTGGGGAAAAAAAATTCTTCACCACACAATACTTTTTACACTTTCTGTCTCAGCACTTTGAATTGTTGAGGAGAACCATAGAAACACATTTCTGCACTTATAAAGCAATTTTTTAAACACACACACACAGAGAGAGAGAGAGAGAGAGAGAGAGAGAGAGAGAGAGAGAGAGAGAGAGAGAGAGAGAGAGAGAGAGAGAGATGTTACCAATGCCATGAGGCCCAGGGGAACTGAGACATTTCCCAGGATTTGTTTTTATCTGTATTCATGTTTTTGAGGAATACCTGATACTGCCTGTCTGCAAACAGAAATATACTTGTTGGGACATGAGATAATTTAGTTGTAGCACCTAATTATATTCCAATAAAAGATGGCTCAGCAATTAAGTCACTGGGCTTGTCAGCTGGAAAGAGTCAGCACCACACAAAAGAGTGAGTTCCCATCCTCGCCCCGTCTCCTGCACACCTAGCAGTTTGAAAGCATGTTTAATGTAAGTAGATAAATAGGTACCACTTCAGTGGGAAGGTAACAGTGCTCCATGACTTCATGCTGGCCACATGAATGTGAAAATATCTTCAGACAACTGCAGGCTCAATGGCCTTGAAACGCAGATGAGCTTTGCCCCCTATAGTCAGCAACAACTCTTTTACCTTTTTTTTTTTAAATTCCAAAAAGATTAACCTAGCTTTTTGTTTTCAACATTTAAGAGTATTTACTCTGGTGGAGATTTCTCAGAGTTTTTAATTACAAATTTTAAAGCTATTTTGGTATGACTATCATAATGTTGATACATTCATTTTGGTCCCTGTTTATTATCAAAGTTTAATGTTGAAAGCCTGAAAAAAAGGTCTAAATGGCTCATGTAAATATTTTTTTATCAAAAAGCTCCAAGATATTTGCACGGAAATAATAGAACACTGAAACATAGACTGAAATATTAAATAGCCAGCAAACATTCTTTTTCCGCCTACTATAACATTTAACAACAGGAATTCTGGCCCTTACATAACCAATATAGAACTATTGGACACAAGCAAAAGAGGGCTGTTTCACCTTTAATAATGCCACAGAAGACCAAATTTTCTGTGATGACAAATTGTACTTGCTGAAATACATCTTCTATGTGACCTCTCAAGATGCATGAACAATATATCTGTATTTCTAGAGTGTTCTACCTCATGTGTGCACACATATACACATACACACACACAAACAAAAGAAAAATAGCAGCATAAATTCCATTTTTTTTCAGAGAAAAGAAATACTGTAATAAAGAACAAGAAAACTAAAATGTTCCCATTCCCCACTAAAAAATCTCTGAGTATATCAAGAGTATGTTGGCTAACTTTTTTGAATCAAGGAGGGAGGTGATATATAACTACAAGAAACTATTGTGAAATCCTAGGTTGTTGTGGGTAGAACAAAGCATATTGGAAGCCAAGAGTTGAAAGAAGTCTGAGAAACAGATTACACTTTCCCTATACAGTGCACAATGTAATCTTTCCACTTTTACCATTTATGATAGACAGATCTTTCCACCATTTCCCAAACTAGCTTAACTAAACACATATGATATGTGCATTCAAAGAAATGCATGGTAATACTTCAAGAAATCCAGATATTCTCAAAATATTTTTAAGACATTTAAATTCAGTATCTACAACATTATGCAGGATTTATCCTAAGAGAAAGCAGATAAGGTGGCCATTCCTTCCCCCCTTTACAGTTCTCGGGCCATCAGATTCATTTTCCTGAAGACATTTTAGATTCTTTACAGCAAAGAGAATAAAGACTTTGCATAAGTTTCATTCACTTTTTTTCCCCCTGTGGGATCATTTTATTTTGTGGCCTTCAATGTGCAATTCTGTATTCCATTATAGCATTTCAGGAAGCTTGTCCACCCCAAGGATAAAACACCCAGACAAAAACCAAGCAATGTGATATATGCCATACAATGCAGTGAGACATGTGGAGATCTATACACTGGCAAAACAAAACTGCTACTTCATAACATAGGTAAGGTGGCCAACCATCCTCCTTTAGGGAGGACAGTCCTCCTTTTGTAAGTTCTGTCCTCCCTTGAAAAGTGTCCTCCTACTGTCCTCCTTTTTGATATTTGAAGACTAATCTGCAGGGCTTTTTTTTTCTCATAGAACGCTCAGAATGGCGTTCTGGCACCTTTTTTTTATTTTTTTTTTCAACTTTTGCATGAGCTGTGCTACTCCCGCTATTGGCTTTCGAAAGCCAATAGGAATTGCTGCTGAGCGTGCCAAAACATCCGACTGGCAAACTTTGCACATGCAAGTTATCTGCATTATTGTTGCAATGAATAAAATGTTTCTTTTATTTACAATATTTTTTTCTTCAATTTATTTGTGTCCTCCTTTTCATTGTAAAAAAGTTGCTCACCTTAACATAGGAGATCAAACCTATCAGGACAAGATTCAACTGTCAATCTGCATTTGAAAAACAAAGGTCACTCTTTTGAAGATAGCAAAGTCCACATTTTGGATACAGAGGGTCATTAGTTTGAAAAAGGTGTAAAAGAGGCCATTTAGGTTAGCCCTCTCTCAACAGAGGGGGAGAGATAAAACACCACCTACCTCTAGTCTACAATGCAGCTCTTGCCTAGTGCCAAGAAAATTCCACAAACAATTACACTGTGAAGGCAAAGATAAACCCCCAAGTGGCCGCATGAACTCAGAAAAAGAGCAAAGGGAGCAGTTGTCTGCAAGAAATACAATTGGTTCATTTCCTCCACCACCATCCAGTCAGAACCTATCCTTCCATCCCCCCTCCACCCTGTCTCAATTGTCAGTATCTATCCTCCATCCCTCCCTTCCCACCAACTGATGAAGTTTCTTGGATGAGAAACAAAATGATTTGTTCTTATTCCTCCAGAAAAAACAGTCCAGTTGCCTTTTGAAAAAGCACTTTTGAGACAACAATCATATAAGTATACAGAAAGAGAACGCCATTTTGAAATTACAGCAAGGTGTTCATTAAAAGGAATAAAAAAAGGTTCCCTCCCTCCCCTTTCGAAAAGGTTTATGCATAAGGGCATGTCAAGGACTTAGTTCCAGTCAATGTATCTTTTTAGTTCATACAGAACCTTATCACTTTTTGTGCGAGCAGAGATTGTATTTCCAGTTATCTATTTGCGATTTTTAGTGAAGCAATCTGCATCCAAGAAGTTATAAGTAGCATCAATGCTTCAATAAAAAAATGTGTTCAGCTTACTATACAGTATTCACAGCTTATATGAAGAATGAACACACTTTATGGTGAAGACACACAAGATTCTTAGCCAAGGACATTCGCTGATGGGCCTTTTATTAAGGTCATAATAAGAAATGTCATACAGTGATAAACACTAAGTGATAAATGATCATGTAGACATGAATCAAGAATGATGTCCCAGGTTTTTTTTTAAACTGGAAAAATGTTACCTTTCTCATTCCTTAACTCAGCATCTGAACAACAAAATTCAGTTAAAAGCTTTAAATATAAAATTATACCAGAGAGATCATCACCTGTTTTGATTTGCCAAGCTAAATAGAGAAGCTATGTGGGGAAGAAAAAGTAATTTTAAAAAAACTGAAAAGTTTCTCAGAAATAAATACTTAGCTTGCACATAATTCATCTTGAAAGTGTTATTGTGTGTATGAGTGTGTGTGTGTTTGATGAAATCATATTGTAGCATGAAGTGCTGTTAAAATATAAAAATCTGGGAAGAATATGAAAGATAAGCATAGAGGTTCATTGATATAATTCTTCATGGCCAGGTAAATCTTTCTCCCTTAAATTATTTCAGTTTTCTATGATTCTTCACATCACATCCTAGACAAGTTTCCAAATTAACCTTCAGCTAGGAAGGGTAGTGAAGACTGTGATAGGTGAAGAAGGAAGAGATGAAGAACAATAGAGTCATGGGAATATCAAGAAACCATCAAAAGCATTCTATAACTGAAGTTTTAGGATGATTAAATCTCAAATAGCCATTGTACAGTATCAGACCCTGATGAACAATAAAAATTGCAAAAATGAGTTAAGAGACTATTTGGAAGAGAGTCACAGTATTTTCTTTTATACAAATCTGAAATTCTTCTTTAAGAAAACAATAATATTGCAATCCTATACTTCAGCCTTTCTACAACACAGTGTTCCCCAGATGTTTCAGCAATGTGTATGCTGGCTGGGTATGATGGAAATGAAGATTCAACATATCTGGAGGAGATGCATTTGGCAAGTGATTTTGAATATGTATCTGGCAGTATAAGACCTTGAAGTTATATCTTAAAAAAAGCAAGTATAAGATTCACTATATGGAATTAAGCAATAAAGTATTACTGTCTTTCACTGCCTCTCATTCTCCATCTCAGGAGAAGTAAACTAAACAGTTTTCTATGAATATTCTGAAACTGAGCTGACAACATTTTTATTTTGAATATGTCAATGGCAATTGAAAAAGAAATTTAAATGTTATTATTCTTACTTTACTAATGGCTTTGGCGTTGCTATTTCATTTGGATTTGAAATAAACCACTATGTAACTTTTCTAAACCGAATTCAGAACAGATGGGATTTGTGTTTGTTTATTATGCAAATGTATATGCTTCCTCTTTATTCAAAATATTCCTCAACTCAATTACTAATGGGGTTAAATTTTAGACTTGTATACAAAGAGCAGCTGGCATGGATAGTCATTTCTTTTTTCCTTCCCCAAAATTTTGTTTGTTTCTTTATTTAATGAAAAACAGGCTCTATGGCTACAACTGGGAATCAGTTTCCTCTTGTTTGTTGATCAAAACTTCTCTTCTAGCTTCTTCTGCTATTAAGGGAGAAAAAAGCTCAAGGACCTCATACACTAGAATTGCTGTATGGGTGAGGTAGCCTTATAAGTTGAATGACTGAATGAAATATTTTTACCATTGGCTGTAAAGCAGATGAATTAATGATTTGCTCAATCTGGTGAGAAGGATAAGTGTGTCAGATGATATTAAATAGCCTTTCTGCCTGTCAGTCTTCCCAGTTGCACTTTCAGAGGCTTTTCTTAATTACTTTTAAGAAAAGTCTTTTGGAGAAAAGAGACATTCCAGATGCAATGAATTGTTAAACCTAAATTGTTCTTCAATATCAAAACTGAAGAATTTTTTAAAAATCTACAGAGATATTTGCAGATTAGGTGAAAATAGAGAAGGAGTCATTATTATTTTTCAAAAGTTATAGGGTGATCAAGAGATCATGTATAGATTTGCTTAACCTTTAAAGATCCTGGCACACTAACAGCATCATCTGTAAGATTAGTGGCAGAACTTGAGGCAGAGTCAAAGGAAGACTCAGACTACAGTCTCTACATAGCCACAAATACCTTGTTGTATTTGTATCTTTAATACCTTGTTGTGTACTTTTCCTCATCAAAATACATTCAGCCATTCATTTTTAGGAGGAAACATAAGTAGATACTCAGAAATATAATTAGCCTGAGGACTAAGCCTCTGACCCGAGTGACCACACTATGGTCATAGATTTTGATCTTAAACTACATAAACCTACTTTGAATTCTACGTACTAAAATAAAAAGAGAAACCACTAAATATTTAATATTAGTATTACCAAACCACACAGTTCTCTTCCATCTATGATATGGCAAGATTCTCAATGCACTATTTTAATATTCACATCTAGTTCCATCAATCATTCTTGCATAATTTATGCAAGTATTAACAACCAATGTGTTTTATAAGGAAATAAGAGTAATATACCATAATATACCATAATTCATAAAATCTCTGATACATTATCATTACTTTTCTCAGTTTATATCTGAAAAACTTAGGCCAAATGAAATGCCATCTAAAAATCCATATAAAACAGCGGTTCTCAACCTATGGGTTGCGACCCCATTTGGGGTCGATCGACCATTTTTTGGGGGTCGCCAAAGGCGGCGATTCACCATTTTCTCCCCTCCGGGGCGGTGCCGCGCATGGGGGCGGCGGCGCGCCTCCGGGGGCGCGCATGCGCACCGCGCATAAGGGCGGGGGGGTCGCCGTCACACAAACGTTGAGAACCGCTGCTCTAAAAGGATATTTTCTGAGATTCTGTTAATTCAAGTCTCCTATCTAAATCCAGCATTTAATCACAATAGATGCCACCACACTACTACTTATTTTTACAAAGCTTTGGGAACTGCATTTTTATGATAGCACTGGGCTATATGTATTTAGATATGTTTGAAATTACCATACCAATTTTTAGCATTTTAACAAAAATTGCATAGCAATGCAATGTATACAAGATATATTTAAACTTCTTTTTTTAAAAAAAAACTCCTTTCAAGGTAAGATATTTAGTACATATTCTTACATATTTTGTTTCCTGATAATTTCTTTTTTTTAAATTACCTTCCTTCTTCATCCCAGCACGAAAGCACTTTTTTAAGCGACAGTATCTGCACTGATTTCTCTTGTCCTTATCAACAATACATTGCCGGCTAAATCTGTTGAACAGAATCAAGGGTAAATATATTAGAGTACAAGTACAGGAGGATCCTGATTAGCACAAGTGAAACAATTAATGGGCACTGTCAAAACAATGTCTTTGACTCTTAACCTTCACCAGTACTTTTTTCTTTAATCAGACTTGAAACATTTGTCTTTGCTATTCTTCTAACAGGAATAATTCCTTTTGATGGGCAAGTAAAATCCCATTAGGTTATTCATCATCTGCTGAAAGCAAGGCATATAAATTCTGCTCTCGGTTTCACGAATGCTTAGGATAACTCTTTTGGTCTCCCTTTGATCTGTTCCTGTTGTTGAATATGATCAGGAGCAAAAAATAAAAGAAAGGAGTCCTGTTAGATCAGAATAAAAGCTTATCTACTTTAGCAGTTAGTTTCCAAGTGGTCAAAATGATGCTTCTATAAAATAGTCATTCAAAAGATTAAAGCATCATCTCTCCATATTATGTGTACCATCATCTGGATCCAAGAGATACAGCCTTTGTTCAGAAAAGATCTGTTTATCTTTATTAATAGCAATTGATAAATATATCTTTTTAAGCAAATTAATGAATTAATCTGTCAGTGAGACTCTTTCATCAGAATTAAGAAATATTTCCAGCCTGAAACACACTGAGGCTGCCTGTCCCTACATAATTATTTCATACTCATGTTATAAAACTCATGTAAAAACAATGGAGAAAAGCAATGCAGTTTCTTTAAATAATAAAAGAGACAGGAAGATATCCTGATTACAGAGAGAGTGAGTTGGGCCTTGCCTACTGAATAGCATTAGCGCATTGTTTGAGCAAGGAGTGGTATAAAGAGATGAGCTACTATGTTTTAAGAAAATAGGCACATACGTAATTCTTGATTCACCATAAATGAAATCCAAAAACATATTTGCAAAAGACTTGCCATTTTCCACAGTACCATGTACAAGTTTTGATTGCTTGAGCCAGAATCTCAAGATAACAAAACATTTTGAAAAGAAGACCTGAATCTACAATAGTAATAGTGGAGGGGGGAGTACTGTTTAACCTCGGCAACAATCCTAGTCAACCTTCTCAAAAAAGGAGAAAAAGATCAAACAAAATGCCAGGGGGCACTTTGTAGCACAAATCTAGTCATACTTGAGAAAAAATGAAAATAACAGGGACTCACAGTAAGGCAACAAGAAGTAGTAAAAGCTGATAGAGGAGTAATTACTGAAGATCAAAATCTACATTTGATGTTACTTGGGAATGAACAGAATAGGGTTTAACATTATAAATTTCTGTTAGACAAGATAATTCAAATTTCCTCTGCTAATCTATAAACTTCTCTTGCATTAAAAAAAATAGAATGCGGCAAAGATTAAAAGCCAGAAATTAATGCTACTTCACTGAATCAGTGACTTTTTCAACACTAACTAGGTAATATGTAGTCAAGCACACAAAGTGTTTAAGAAAGCTTTCTCCACTCCACTCCAGGCTTCTAGATTTCATTTTTCAGAATTCACTAGCTCAGAATAGCTACTGTTGAGAACTGAAGATCACATATCTCAATACTCACAAATTGGGTAAAGCTAATTTAAGGCATATATCTTATTGGAATCAAGGATCTTTGTCTTCTATTCTCCTGATCTTGAATTTTGGATACTCTGTAGCGACAAAAGTTCACAGAACATATATCTAATTCAGAAAAGGGGAAAACTAGCATTTGCTAAATATATTAATGTTAACCTGGCAGCCTTTCCCAATCTGTTTTTGCCCAAAATCCAATCTCACAATTTCCAGCTATTGTGGGTCTCAATATATCTATCTATGTGTCAAATTAAAGACATAAATTTTATGTATCATCTATGGTATACATCCATGACGATCTTTGCTAATCTTTTTTTTCCAGTTTAATCACATTTAAATCGTTCAGTAAGTACCAAACACAATCCATACAATGTGTCTTGGACAATGTTATGCTTTGCTAAATGAACTTTAAAGTGATCTTCAGATCAATACTTCTTTTGAATGTGCACTTATTAGCAATGCCTTTTACCAATTTTGACTACTTTTTCACTTGTGGCTTTTCTGTAAAAACTGGACTTTGATATTTATGATTTGGTTATCATGAGATAATTACTGCAATGTGCTTTATATGGGGTGTCCTTGTGCCGGTCTCTGCAATGGAAAAGCAGGAAATGTATATAATAAATTAACATTTATTACACCAATAGTCCAAACTTGTTTGACAACCAGCACATTTCGAGGCTTAGTTCAAAGTGCTAGTTTGTCCTTTAAAGACTCAACACTTCAGATCATAGGATTACCTGATTTATCTTTGCATGTTCTATGCAACACTATCCATTCATTCTCTGTTGGGAACTCGCCAGCTAGGCTTGAAGGAAGAGTCAAACAAGGACATAATTTGGAAACATTGCATAGCTGCAAGTGGCAAATGCTTGACCTCATCCAAGATTTGGAATCCTTAACTTCTCATCCCACAGGAAGGCAAGAAATCTAAGGAGATTCTTGTAACATAGGGAGAAGTCAATAAAATTGTTTACTTCAGCTATTTATGAGTAGCTCTGGTTCCTTGTGTGTAGCATGCTCCAAATACTGTCATCAGATATGTCATGGCATAGAATATCTAGCTATGCGATTGTTTTTGTACCCACTTTCTAGAATTACTTCAGGATAAAGAGCCGAGGTGGCGCAGCAGTTAGAGTGCAGCACTGCAGGCCACTTTAGCTGACTGTGTTCAGCAGGTCAGCAGTTCAAATCTCACCGGCTCAAGGTTGACTCAGCCTTCCATCCTTCCAAGGTAGGTAAAATGAGGACCCAGATTGTTGGGGGCAATGTAAATGTATATATATATATATATATATATATATATATATATATATATATATATATATATATACATTGCTTACTGGTGTACACAGCTTAGAGAGTGCTTGCACTTAAAGCGGTATATAAGTATCATAAATAAATAAATAAATAAATAAATAAATAAATAAATAAATAAAGGCCAGAACAGTTCTAGAAAGCTTTCCCCAAAGGCTCCAAAGGACTTCTCTTGGCTTTACAATTTTTAGTGACAAATTTAGTGACAAATTTAATTTCAGGCTTTAAATTAGAATTTATGTTCTTTTTGTACGAGCTCCCAATTCAAATGTTTTTAATTATAGATGTCAGGGGCTGAGGTTGGCACCTTTTATACACAACTGTGTATTGTGCCCTAACTTCAAATATTGCTTTTGTTTTCACCATATGCTCAATTCTGGATCTGGAGGAAAGGTCGAATAGAAATATGTCAATATAACACAAAGAAATAAGAAGTCCTAAACAGTTATATTGCTCCTACCTGCAGCTGTAAACATGGCTCTTTCGTATGCTGCGTCGGAAGAAACCTTTGCATCCATCACAACTAGAGGCACCATAATGCTTGCCAGTTGCTCGGTCCCCACATATTGCACAAATGCCACCAATCACATTGTCAGTACTGTTCATGTTGAAAGGTTCTGCTGAACAACTGTCTGGGGAGGGGGAGGAACAAAGGGAGGAATAATTAGAAGTTGAGCACTGACTAGGGAAGAAACAGAAATGTTAAATGTTACCATCCTGAAGATTTTACAGATCATCTCTTTAATTAGCTCTTGGCATTCATTTTATTTTATTTATTGAATTTATTAAATTTCTATGTCACCCATCTCAACTTAGTAGTTCAGCAGTTTACAACAGCATAATAAAACTATATAAATAATGAATAAAATATTAGCTTAAAAATACAGTTAAAACAAGTCAAAACCTACAAATGAAGATAAATCAGATTAAAAAGACTAGGAGGTTAATAAGCAGTAAGAGTGTGCTCAGGGCACCAGCCATCCCCAGGACATTATATTTTTAGACCTTCATGCTAATTGGCAAAGCCAGGTATTAATACTCTTCTGTTAAAAATGGAAAGGAGTGGGGGTTCACCTCACTTCTGGAAGTAACATGCTCCATAGGGCGGGGCAGCAGCTGAGAGAGCCTTCTCCTAGATCCCGCCAGTTGAAACTCCTTGACTGATGGGATATGCAGCCTGCTTTGCTTGCTTGACTTGGTGGGTAAATGTAATTGGGTCAAGCCGGTTTCTCAAGTATACTGGCCCCTTGTCCTCAGAGGGCTTTAAAGATGATAACCAGCACCTTGAATTGGAGCTGGAAGCAAACTGGCACCCAATGCAACTCACAAAGCAGAGGTGTTAAATGCGCCATCATAGAGACACTCCAAACATTTGCAGTGTTGCATTCTGCACCAGTGCAGCTTCCAGATATGTTCAAGAGTAGCCCCATGTAAAGTGCATTGCAGTAATCCATCTGGGAGATTACCAGGGCATGAGAGATTGAAAGGAAAGTTTCTCAATCCAGGAAACGGAGTAAGTGGCAAACTCTCCTGGCCACAGGTGCCTCTTGCTCCTGCAGCATGAATTGTAAATTCAGGAGGACCCCCAGATTACACACTGGGTTTGTCTAGGACACTACTGCAGATGTTTTTGGATTACAACCAAGGCACATATTACTGTTGGTATTAACTTTGCTTTCTTTTGCCACAGGCATTCTATTTCTATTTGCACGTCTTTGTATTTTGTATTTTCTCAAGTTGTTTATTTTTTATTCTGTTGTCTCCAAATATTGCAATGCCCATTTTCCAAACTTTTGTTGTCTTTTTCCAGTGTAAGTATTAATACTTACATTGGCATTATGTTGATCTTATACTAAATTTAGTTTATAATAATTTATAAATAATCAAACTGTTAAAATAAATGGAAAGTAAATTGCTTGGGTTGCTTTTCTCCAAATCTGCCCACAATTTGGTTCACTTTTCCAACCTCTTGTTTTAAATTTCTCTCAACTGGTTAATTAGCAGGTCAAATATATATGAAATATGGGAATATTGAAATAAGTAAAATGCATGCAGCCATCAAAATAATCACAACACATTTTCTCTGTTACTATTGATTATGATAATGAAAAGTCAACTCTCTGTTTTCATTTTGTTACTTAATTTTGAAATACAGAATTATCCTTTAAAAAAGTGCAATAATACTATTTAAGTTCCAACTAACCTGGTATGAAAAAATAAACGTTGCTGAATAAAAAAATAATTCAGCCAAACATTTGTTCTTTCTTCTGTCTCTTCTTGCAGCCATATATGCCTAATCTGCTTTATATCTGACTCAGTCATCATTGCATTGGAAAGAAAAACTAAATCTAGGCATTGACAATTCAAGTCTAACTCAAGTTAAAAGTTACCCTAATCAAATAGCAAGAAATTATCTCAACTAATTGCCAAGATTTATCATGATTAATGACTTGTTTGCATATTGGCAGTCTAGAGGTATGACTGTACAGAGTGTTAAATATATCCATTCTAAACAGACATAAGAATATCTTTTCAGAGTAGCCACTAATTCCACCACCCCAAGTCCTGCTACCTTATCATAGTAGAGGGGATGTTTATGTGAGGAATGCATGAAGAACATTGGGTGTGTATGCCAAGAATATGTATTCCCAGCAGGGTCACCCAAGGTGTAAAGGTCATTCAAGCTGTCCAGAAAAAGTGTGCAGCCACCTACCCTGGGCAACAGCAACATAGAAAGATGCTGGAGGCAGATGATCACTTTAGTGACAATGGCAAAAGCATTAACTTATACTGCATGGGAGAAGGTAATGGTAACCCATTCTTATATTTTACCAAGAAAACCATATGAACGGAAAATATAAAATGACTGATGATATGGTGCCGGATGTTGGTATCTCAGTTGAATGGCACTTGACATGCTACTGAGGAAGAAACAAGGATCCATCAGGGTACTAATGGTATTTATGATGTATCTAGATTAAAGCCTCAGTATGTCTAGTTGTTAATGGTGGCATATGGGGAAAGAAAGGTTGAAGCTGCATAGATAGAATTACAAGTAGGATCATGGAACATAAGAAGCATGAATGCTCAACACAGTGAAAGATGAAATGAAACAACTACAAATTGATATCTTAGGCATCAGTGAATTGAGACAGATTGATATCAGACATTTTCTGATATCAGAAAATCACACTTTATTGCTCAAGACGTGAAAAACAAAGAAGAAACATAGTTGCTTTTATGTTTAGAAAGGGTATAGCAAGAACACTACTTGTCTACAAAGCAATCAATGGACGAATAATATTGATTAGACTTGTGGACAACCCTTTAATATTACAATCATTCGAATTTAAGCTCCTAATGCTCCAACCATCGATGCAGAAAAAGAGGAAGTTAATGATCAACTTCAGTATTAAATTGACCAAACATTCAACAAAGATGTACTGCTTGTGATTGTTGACTAGAATACCAAAGTTGGAACACGAAAGTGGAAAATGTAGTTGGATTGCATAGCTTAAGAAACCAAAATGAACAGGAGACTGACTTCACAATTTCTGCCACTCCAATGATTTCTACATAGCCAACAACTAAACAACATAAATATGCCTTTCTACATGGATATCACCAGATGTAGTACATGGAAATCAAATTGACTGTATTGTTGCTAAAAGGAGGAGCGGGAATCAATTATAGCATCAAAGACATGGAACAGATCATGAACTGCTCATGTGTAAGTTCCAAGTTAAGCTCAAGACAAAAGCCAGTCAATTTCCACAATATGATCTTTAACGTATACTTACCATATTTTAAAGAGAACATCAGGAATTGTTCTGAAATCTTCAATTTCATTAATAGAGAACTACAGAAGTTATGGATTTAACTTTAAAAAGTTATTAACAGACTACATAAAGCATAAAAAGTCATTAGGAGAATTTAAAAAGACATAAGACCAGTGATTTTTTGTAAAAAAAAATAAAATAAAAAAAGTGCTGGAACTCACACATGTCATACAACCTGCCTTGCCTACCCTACAAGGTTCCATCCAAAAAAGGTGCCGGAACTCCGTTCTGGGCATTCTATGACAAAAAAAGCCCTGCATAAGACATTGCCATAAATGAATAAAGAGAAGAAAGCAAATTAAATATCAGACCCATAAAATTGCCAAGAAGGGAAGCCAAAGCCAAGAAAAAAAATCAAAGCCTCAAAAAAGGATCTTAATAGTTTCAAAGAGATCTTAGAAAAAGAATAAGCTGTGGAGCATGCTCAGAAAAATGACAATTCCAGAATATCATAGGAAACTTATATACAGGTCAGGGAGCCACATTTTGGACAGAACATAGTGAAACAGATTTGCTCAGGTTGCCAAAGGAGCATGACAAGAGCTGCATATTCTCTCTTCAGTTGTTCAAATTATACATATAATGAAGGAAGCTGAATTGAAAGATGAGCATGATTTTAATACTGGAAAAAGAAACATCAATAACCTGCACTATGCTGATGACACTACCTCGCTAGGTAAAAATTCTGCAAATTCTGCTAATAAAAATTAAGGAGCAAGTGAAAAATGGGACTAAAATTAAACAAGAAGACCAAACGAATGGCAAAAGGTAGAACAACAAGCCTTAGAATTAGCAATGAAGATTTCAAAGTGGGGAATACCTTCTGCTTTTTAAAATCAACTATCACAAACAAGCAACCAAGAAATCAGCCATAAATTAGCACTTGGCAGAGCAGTCTGTAAAGGCCTTGGAAAAGATTGTAAAAAGCTGTGATTGGAATCGTGCAAGCAGTGGTATTCCCTATGACATTCTATTGAACAAAATTGGGCTTTGAAGAAAGAAGCTAGGAAGAGTATTGGCATATTTTAATTTTCTGGTTGGAGAAGACACTTGAGAATATTGTGGACAGCATTAAATCACTTCAAAGTTCTCACTCAAGGCAAAAATGACTAGGCTCAAATTACCGTACTTTGAACACTTATGCAAAGACCTAAATCTTCAGAAAAAGTCTCTAATGCTAGGAAAGAGTTGCCTCCATCCATGAGATAAATGTCTTATACTGGTAGGGTTTTTGGGTGCCTATAATAAGTAAATTTATCCCATTGTTTCAATAAATTGATTTTACTGTACATCTGTTTTCTTATTTCCTAGAAGGTTCATTATACATTAATATCTTACATAGCTCTCCTATTCATCTAATATAATTCACAAAATTTAAGCTGAAGTATAAAAGTCTTACCAATTATATAAATAGGATTAATTTACCAAATGAAAGATTTATTGATAGGTTATATCCTACAAACCTTTCAACAACCAAAGTTGTATTAATTTGTTAGTAAGCATTTACTCATGAATAAAAAACAAAATCTAAATAAAAAAGATTTTGACAAAAAACACTTTTTTAAAACCTTGACCTGAATTATGAAAAGTAAAACATTTGGCTGATCCAATCTCCTTTACTTCCTTACCCATTCATAAATACAATAATTCAAACTCACCATTGCCATTGTACAACACCTGTATGGTTTCAAACTCTAAATTAGCATAACTTGGATCTAAGACTTCAGAGTAATTTGCCATATCCATGTTCAGAATTGGGTCTGAGATTCTCATTACTGTACATGAATCTGAAAATGGTCTGTTTCTCCAGTACAGAAAATGCCATCAACACTTGTTTTCCCTTGGCCTCGTGACTGATAATCAAAATATTAACTGTCATTACACAATATAGCACAATGGGTGGAGTTATGATACTAATTCAGCATGTCTTATTCTACTTCTAGCTTTCCCCTTTTTTATTATACAGCTTTACAAACTTTTACACACACCCACATAAGGCTGTGTTTATCATAGAGTTTGTAAGATGCAAAAACGTGGAAAATCATGGGAATAAGCCTTTGATCAGTCCTATGATCAAAGAATTTTTGATACGTAGTAGCAACTTCACAATACAACCACAAGAAAGGTGAATGGTTTAAATATCTGGGTCCTACTTGCATGGAGATGTATTATATAGGCTTTTATTCCCATGGTTACTCTATGTTTTACCTAGAAGACAAAGGAAAGGAGTGTGAGTTTTTTTTCCTCTCAAAAGGAAAATTAATTTGCTCAAGAAAACTTAGGAGAAAAAGGATCTTTTAACATTTTCTTTAAAAAGTAATGGGTATGCTTGTTTTTAGTGCACCCATTCTACAAATATGCACTTACATTATGCATCAACAACTAGAGCCCGAAATCAGAATTCCAGTTTCATGTTCTGTGAGTATTTATCAACAGATTACAACACCCAGAAAAGAATAAAGCAATTCATTACTTGGCAATGTACTTTCTGTGGAATACAGTCACCTTAAAGAGCTGTAAAACTGATTCGTTGCATCTCATTAATAGTTAACATGGTAATCTGAACCTTGTTCAAAGGAAAAAAAGAGTTCCAGATATCTGAAGTTGTTAATCAAACACATATTAACTATTCAGTGAGCATAGAAATATTATTCAATCTTTCATTTGTCCATTTATTTCATCAAATGTAATATTGAATGAGCTATTTATTAAATAAGAGTACTGGAATCATCCTAACCTAAAAGCTTGATTATGGACAAAAATCCCTGCCCAATTTTGAACTGGAATGATTCTGGTCTGAACTAACAAACTCATTACTATCTTGCTCTACGCAGGAAAGGCAGACAGGGTGCTTCTTAGTATATTCCTTAGCTAAATAATGCTAGCATAATCCTTAGCTTGGAGTTCCTTGATCATAAACTTGTTATAAACTGGTCAGATTCCTTCCAGATCCTTTTCCCTCAGAAGTAAATTCCCTGTCTTCCTTCACCATGGAAATGAAAAGAAACGTTTTTGACAGCATTGATAAGAGAGGGCGGAAACTACTCGTTAATAACAGGAAATGATCTTCAGAAACCTTCTTTCAGAAATAGGAATTGCTCCTCTAAGAATATTTTAAAACATCCCACCGAATATTCAGTCATCTGTAACGATGATAAAACCAGATCTTCAAGGCCTTTTGAAAGGCCATCAGGGTTTGCACTAGTCTGGTCTTCATAAAAATTATGTTCCAGAGGATTGGCATCATGAAAAAGAAATTATCTCCTTCTGGGTCCCACCAAATGACTGTTCCTAAAGGACAGGACCCAGACCACACTTCTCAGTCTGGATCTCATAGGATACGTAGAAATCACTGGGGAAAGCAGGTCTCACAAGTAGTTTATCTCCAAGCTATGGGGGTAAAGCTAACTATCAGTCTTGAATTGAACCTAGAAGCATACTGATAGCCAATGCAGAAAGATACCATGATTGACAGTATCAAAAGCAGTTGAGGGGGAAGAAGAGGAAGGATGGATGCACCACCTCCATTCGACTCTCTCCAGAGGTCATCCAAGAGTGTGATTAATGCTGTCTCAGTTCCATACCCAGGCCTGAATCCTGACTGAACCTAGTCCAAATAATCTGGTTCTTCCAGAATTTGGTGAAGCTGATGTACAACCAACTTCTCCATAATTTGTGGGGAAGGTTAGAAACTAGATGAAAATTGTCCAGTATAGTCAGATTCAGTGACAGCCTCTTCAAGAGGGGAGAAACCACCATCTCCTTAAAAGCAGCAAAATCATTTCCTCTCTGTCAGAGGAATTCACTACTACAAAGACCAATCACATGTTGCCTCTCAGAAACCCTTAGCCAACAAACAGGGGTTACGAATCTAAAACAAAGCTAATTGAAGAACACTGTCCACTTCATCAGGCCAACAGCATCAAACTTTCTCCAGTTTAATCAAAGCAGACCAAGGCCCAGCCATTTTCACAGGACCTGTTCCAAAATTAAAGTCCAACTTACTGTAAATCTGATTGACTTCATCCATTAGATGCCTAGCATATTCCTCACCTTGTAGATAAACCTCTGAACTATCCCCTCCTGGACAGCTATCCAAAGATGTATTGAGGTGGATAAATATTGATACCCTTACAGCCACAAGGTAGACCTTAATTGTGGTTTGTGTTTGGTTAAACTCACTTCTTATAATCCTTGCAAGGTTCTGAGCATCTTTCCATCTATTTCATTTCCCCCATTCTGCCATTCATCAAGGCGAGTCCAAGGATTCCCAAGAGAGAAGAGGTAGCTATTCTGCAATCCCATCCAGAGTCAAGCTGTCCTGTTATTCCAGACAGCCACCAGGCCTTTGAGTTGATTACCCTCAGGAACAAATTTCCTGTGAAATCCAATAGAGTTAATTAGTTGCTAGTATGGACAATCTAATGAGTCCAGCCTCCTTCCATTGGAGAGTAGTGCCAGAGAACTGCAGAGGCACTAGAGGAAGATCTGACTATAACAGGGAAGAAACAGGAGTCTCTCCCAATTTCACATCACACTGCCATTGCTCTGATTAGGTGTATGACCAATATTGTGCACTGGATCCTGAACTAGCAATTTTAAGTCATTTCCAATAACTAATGACTTTTTTATATGATTTCATGAAATTAATTATTTGATTGTCAGTACTTTTCAGTTCTGGTGCAGTCAAAAATAGTTTAATCAATATCAGCCTTTACCAATCTGGTAACTTTAAAATATAGTAGGTTGGCAATTCTCAGAAGTAGGAAGTTTGGAAATTCAATTCCAAAACCTGTACAATTTACAGGCCAATTTACTCCTTTTTCTAACACAAACAGAAAGTGGGAGAGAAAGAGAGACAGAGTCAGAAATAGAGACAGACAGACAGAGAGAAGCACACTCATGCACATACATCAGTAACCGTGATGTCACAAATTAATCACATTATGCAGTAATACTTCTTCACAGCCACCAAAAAAGGAATTGGGACTTGTTGAGAAAAAATGTGTACAGCATAACAATAATACAATATATAAAATTCTAACTGCAACAAAATAAAAACTGCAAGAATAGCTGCCCTTTCTTGGAAAAATTCTGCATTATTCTACCTTTAAAATGAAGAAATATACAGTAGTTAACAATGTTTTGTATTGAAAAAAGAATCTAAACAACTAGTTGGTTGATAAGAAT